AGAATTCATTTTGATTCAATACATTAACAAAATAGAGACCCTAGTTAATAAAAAAAAGTTTTTAAATTAGAAAAGTTCACTTATTTATATGCGAATTCATTTTGTTAAAGTAAAACATGACGAACTCGCCCCGCCTTACCCTATATATATATATATATATATATATATATATATATATATATATATATATATATATATATACATATATATATATATATATATATATATATATATATATATATATATATATATATATATATATATATATATATATATATATATATCAAAATAATTTAAATGAAAAAATACTGCTGGGTTTTCTTATTACAACGTAAAATAAAAAAAGTTTATGGAAATTTTATTTATCGTTTAACTTAAAACATCATTTTGTTTTCAAAAATATTTCTAACTTAAAAATCAGTATTTCTCAAATTGTATTTGTTGATGGGTTTCGGAGTAAAAATATTTTTGAAGACAGGTTGAGACAAGTCATTTTTCCACATGTACACAAAGCATAAAACATTATATATATTTAGCTCGTATATATTTAAAATTCTCATTTCAATAAAATAATGTTTTGCGTGAGAAAAGCGATTTGCAAAGCAGATTAAACGGATAGCATGTTTCTGACGGCGATAAAGACGTTGCAACTTACTTTTTTCTGTACTACCCCAGGCGATATTAACATAATTTAAATAACTGTGTATAAATGAATAATAAAGTTTGATTAAAATTTTCTTATTGAGGTAGATTCGTGCTTTATATAAAACTCCTATGTTTTTTGAAATTTTAGTGCTTATGTAGTCGATATGATAATTCCAAGTGATGTTTTCATCAAGATAAACACCTAAAAATTTTGTTACGGAATCCTTTTTTATTTCATTTTGATCAATAAAAATTTTAGGTAAGTTTAATGGCAAATACCGTTTTTTAGAAAGCGAATGGAATAAGGTTCACTTTGTTTTATTAGAATTTAGAGTTAACTTATTACATTTAAACCAACTCGATACATGTATAAGCTTTTTGTTCATTGTTTTAAAAAGTTCAAAGATATCACTGTTAGAAAGAAATAAGTTAGTATCATCTGCAAACGTAATACTTGTTAGTTTAGAGGCTTTATTTAAATAATTAATATAAATTAGGAAAAGGAGTGTACCAAGAATTGAGCCTTGTGGGACCCCACATGTTATAGAAAGACAACTGGTATGATAACCGTCATTACTCGGAACAAATTGTTTACGATTTGAAAAATAGCTTTCAAACCATTTTAAAACTTTATTTTTAATTCCATAGTGTTTAAGTTTATAGATTAGAATTTGGTGATCAACCGTATCAAAAGCTTTTGATAGATCAATAAAAAGTCCTAGAGTATATTGTAATTTTTCAAATGATTTTGAGATTTCACGTACAAATTGTATAATTGCATGTTCAGTTGAGCTATCATTTTTAAAACCGAATTGATTAATGTGAAGTAATTTATTAACATGAAAATATTTGTATACTCTGTTATATATAATTCTTTCTAAAATTTTTGAAAATGTGGAAAGAACAGAAATAGGGCGATAGTTACTAATAATTGATTTGTCCCCTTCTTTAAAAATAGGAATATATTTAACATTTGTTTTTAGTTAATATTTAATTGCTTTAAAGCAAACGAGCAATTATTTTTCTTCACATCCGCCGGTGGGAGGCAAATATTTCTGCCTCCAACTTGACGGCCGCAGCCAGTTAGGAGGTAGAAGCTATTGAAGGCGGCCTCCAAATGGCTTTGCCTCCGAAATTTCTTCTGGAGGCGGCCACCATTGGCTTCCCCCACTCTATTGGTGTCGGCTTCAAAAATATTTTGCCTCCAAAAAAGAACTCCGGCTGCGGCCGCCAATAGAAAAGCGGAAGCCACTGGAGGCGGAAGAAAGAACCTTTTGCCGCTAAAAATTGATCGGGAGGCAGCAGCCGTCTGCTGCGGAAGAAAAGTGGAGGAAAGAAGATTTACGCCGTTTATCAACACTGTATCGGATCACGTATATTTGATAACAAATGTCGTTGCAACGCTAAAATTGTACTTTTTATAAAGATTTTTATTTTATATTTTTGAATAATATAGCTGATGATGGCCAAAGGCTTGAAACTTAAAGTTCCATTATAAAGTTGTATTTTTTCATTTAAATTATTTTGATATATATATATATATATATATATATATATATATATATATATATATATATATATATATATATATATATATATATATATGTATATATATATATATATATATATATATATATATATATATATATATATATATATATACATATATATATATATATATATATATATATATATATATATATATATATATATATATATATATATATATATATATATATATATATCAAAATAATTTAAATGAAAAAATACAACTTTATAATGGAACTTTAAGTTTCAAGCCTTTGGCCATCATCAGCTATATTATTCAAAAATATAAAATAAAAATCTTTATAAAAAGTACAATTTTAGCGTTGCAACGACATTTGTTATCAAATATACGTGATCCGATACAGTGTTGATAAACGGCGTAAATCTTCTTTCCTCCACTTTTCTTCCGCAGCAGACGGCTGCTGCCTCCCGATCAATTTTTAGCGGCAAAAGGTTCTTTCTTCCGCCTCCAGTGGCTTCCGCTTTTCTATTGGCGGCCGCAGCCGGAGTTCTTTTTTGGAGGCAAAATATTTTTGAAGCCGACACCAATAGAGTGGGGGAAGCCAATGGTGGCCGCCTCCAGAAGAAATTTCGGAGGCAAAGCCATTTGGAGGCCGCCTTCAATAGCTTCTACCTCCTAACTGGCTGCGGCCGTCAAGTTGGAGGCAGAAATATTTGCCTCCCACCGGCGGATGTGAAGAAAAATAATTGCTCGTTTGCTTTAAAGCAATTAAATATTAACTAAAAACAAATGTTAAATATATTCCTATTTTTAAAGAAGGGGACAAATCAATTATTAGTAACTATCGCCCTATTTCTGTTCTTTCCACATTTTCAAAAATTTTAGAAAGAATTATATATAACAGAGTATACAAATATTTTCATGTTAATAAATTACTTCACATTAATCAATTCGGTTTTAAAAATGATAGCTCAACTGAACATGCAATTATACAATTTGTACGTGAAATCTCAAAATCATTTGAAAAATTACAATATACTCTAGGACTTTTTATTGATCTATCAAAAGCTTTTGATACGGTTGATCACCAAATTCTAATCTATAAACTTAAACACTATGGAATTAAAAATAAAGTTTTAAAATGGTTTGAAAGCTATTTTTCAAATCGTAAACAATTTGTTCCGAGTAATGACGGTTATCATACCAGTTGTCTTTCTATAACATGTGGGGTCCCACAAGGCTCAATTCTTGGTACACTCCTTTTCCTAATTTATATTAATTATTTAAATAAAGCCTCTAAACTAACAAGTATTACGTTTGCAGATGATACTAACTTATTTCTTTCTAACAGTGATATCTTTGAACTTTTTAAAACAATGAACAAAAAGCTTATACATGTATCGAGTTGGTTTAAATGTAATAAGTTAACTCTAAATTCTAATAAAACAAAGTGAACCTTATTCCATTCGCTTTCTAAAAAACGGTATTTGCCATTAAACTTACCTAAAATTTTTATTGATCAAAATGAAATAAAAAAGGATTCCGTAACAAAATTTTTAGGTGTTTATCTTGATGAAAACATCACTTGGAATTATCATATCGACTACATAAGCACTAAAATTTCAAAAAACATAGGAGTTTTATATAAAGCACGAATCTACCTCAATAAGAAAATTTTAATCAAACTTTATTATTCATTTATACACAGTTATTTAAATTATGTTAATATCGCCTGGGGTAGTACAGAAAAAAGTAAGTTGCAACGTCTTTATCGCCGTCAGAAACATGCTATCCGTTTAATCTGCTTTGCAAATCGCTTTTCTCACGCAAAACATTATTTTATTGAAATGAGAATTTTAAATATATACGAGCTAAATATATATAATGTTTTATGCTTTGTGTACATGTGGAAAAATGACTTGTCTCAACCTGTCTTCAAAAATATTTTTACTCCGAAACCCATCAACAAATACAATTTGAGAAATACTGATTTTTAAGTTAGAAATATTTTTGAAAACAAAATGATGTTTTAAGTTAAACGATAAATAAAATTTCCATAAACTTTTTTTATTTTACGTTGTAATAAGAAAACCCAGCTTGTTTCGTTTGCCAAATTACCCCTAGTTCCCCTAATTATAAAGTAAAAAATAATGTTTGAAATACCTGTTGTATTTCTGCATTTTTAGTCCAGCAGAAAATTGTTTGAATTAAGTTTCCTAAAAACCACCTCCAAGGAAACAGAGGAGGTTTTTTGTTTTTGCATATTTGTCAAAAAAAAATTTAACAAAAATATGCTAACGTCATATTTCGAAACCAACAGTTGGAAAAAAAAAATTTTCAACTTTAAAAAAATAGTTTTAAACAATTAAAAGTTTAAATGAAATTTCTTAAATTGTAAAAACTTTTATATTATACAACTTATATTTCTACGATATTACAAACAACCAATTTATAGTTTAAAGAATTATAACTTTTAACATATTTATAAGTGCAAACTTTACTACAAAGTTTTATAGTTATAAAAACACAAAGTGACATAATCAAATTAGAAATTACAAAAAAGTTAAAAAAAAATTTTTTTTAGATATTTTATTACATATACTATAAAGTAATTTTAATAACATTAAAAAGTATATTATAAATAAATAAATAATAAAATAAAAAACTAACATTATAAAAATTATAATAAAAAGAAATATAAAAAGTATTTTAAAAGTATATCATAAATAAGCACATTGTGCAATAATTTTTTATTATTATTAAACTTTAAAGGAAGAAAAGATTAGCATGGTTTTCATTCATTTCTATTAATCTTTCTTTCGAAACCATTCGTCAAATGCAGAGGCGTTTAGAGTATTTGTCTAGTAAAGCTGAAAATATGTATGAGTGATGATCGCGATCAATAACATTGATATAAATGTTGCAACAATAACATTATTATACATACATCAACTGGCTGGTTTAATAAAAGGTTCATCGTTTGAAACTTCACAGTTTACTGTTCTTGTAATTTTTAGCTATACTTAATAAAGTCTAAAAATCTTTTTTTTTTTTAAGTTACAATAGATTAACTTGGTTTGATTAAATAGCACTCACTTAAGCAAGCACTCACTTAAGTTATTAGTTTGCTAAAGTTTTTAGAAGAATATAAAGAACTTAACAAAATAATGTTCGGCATGCAATCGTTTAGAAAAATTTCAAATAAAGAGATAACTTACATCACGTCTGAAGCTTGTATGAATATTTTTGACAGATGTGAAGAAAATGTTGATACATCTAACGATACAAAAGATTTATCACTAACTGACACATTTGATTGTTTAATAGCAAAAATGACCAGCCTTCAATCTGAACTAAATGATATGGTATTGAACGAAGCATCACTTATCAGCAAGAGTAACAATTCAGATGCAATAAAATGCAAATTTGATTACAACTGTTACAAAGCAAAATTAAGAACTCAGGACGAATCAAATTTTTTATTTCATTTGAGAAATGATTCGTTTGAAAAAATGAAATATAACAATAAGAAAAAAAATTCGAATTTTACATTTAACCGTGGAAGCCTAAGTGAAGGAGATTTGACATCATATGAACTTTACAATTACGACGTTTATGGAGAAAATGACAACGTTCTTGTTGAAAGCGATGAAAAAAGTATTGAAATGACGTTAGATTTAGCAAGATCAAATGTGTTTTCAAAGCAAGAATTCATTTGCAAAAGTTTTAGCGTTGATATTTTTAATGAAGATGAAGGTTATGTATCAAACAGTAGACGCAATGGAATTGATTTTGAACTTACCAGCGACGAAGATGCACCTCATTTTATGGACTTGATTCAGTTCACTAAGCAGTACAAAAAGAAACCATTGGCCAAGCACATCGCAAAGTCAGTCAAAACTTTCATGGCTAAAGATAAAACAAACTCTGGAAGAACTCAACTTTCAAAAGATTTCATAAGTCCCATGTCTTTAAACGATCATAAAAATGCAAAGTTTTTCCAAAAAAGAATTTTTATTAAAGGTAAAGGTTCTACTGAACACTCTGACGACTCCACAGAATACTTTAAGGACTCTGCTGAATACTTCACTGTTAGTCACAAACATAAAAACAGACGGTTGAGTATTACTTTAGTAAAAGATACCGTAAAAAAAATATCAGGAATAAAAGAAGTTTATTTAGATGAAGACGGAAGCGTTGTAAAAAAAATAGAGATAAAGAAACTACCCGGACAATCATTAGGCTTTTATATTCGATCTGGAAACGGAATTGACAGGATTCACGAAGGGATTTTTGTCTCTCGGGTTACTCTGGGAAGTTTTGCTGATGTCAACAACTTATTTTATGCCGGGGATGAAATTTTAAGTGTAAACCAGGTATAAAATGCTTTCTTTTAAATGTTTATGTGTAACATACTGTTACATTATAAAATAATAAGTATAGTTAAAACGATATAAAAACATACTTTTAATTAATAATTCATTAATTCTATTTTTATTTAGCAGAATGCATTAGCATAGGGGAGAGTAGGGAGAAGTGAGAAGCGGGAAAAGTGGGACAGCCTGAAATTTCTAATTAGGAGTGGTGTCTAAATACTGTTATTTAATGTACACAATTAAGTTTCTTCCCCTCCTTATCAGAAATTGCTTTGTTTCCCTGCGTGCGCTAAAAGCCCTTATTTTAAATTACACCTTAAAAAAGTGTATACATTAGGGTGAATTGGGACAGAAAAAAATATATATTTATGCCCCCGCTTGTTCCCATCGCCATTCGATTATTTCGATTGGTGAAAGCTCTTGAACATTTTTATGTTGATTAAGAGATTTTATAACTTTATCAGTTTCTATTTAATCATTTGTGTTAAAATGTTGTTTTAAATTTACTTGTCCCATTTCTACTCACACTTGTCCCACTTTACCCCAATGGCACGGTTTCTCTAAAAGCAAAAATTTATTTACTTAATTATAATTGGCTGGAAACCTTAGGCATTTGAATCGGTGCCAAAAAAGAAGGTTTATTAAATAGTTTGTTTAAAATTATTTAATTGTTTAAAATTTTAAAGATACCGATTTAAATTACTCCTCGTTCCAAATAAAAGGTCCCGCTCCTTATTGAAGAAATACATCAATTACGTTTTTTATCTTATTTATGTTTTTTTTTTAATCAAATAAGTTTAGTGACCTTCTCATATTAATGATTACCTATTATTATTTATACCCATTATTGTGGCCTCTTACCTGTTAATAACTTTGAAAAATAAGTTCATTAAACTACATAAAAATAATGTATGTATTTAATTTACTTAAATTTTTTGAAATCAAATATTAAAACATCTTAAAATATCTGAAAATAATATTGTTTAAATTTAGCGTAAAACCGACAATCTTTCATTGGAAGAAGTTATTGCCATTATGCAAGAGTCGAACGATTTGAACATAGAAACTAAATCAGCAATGGATTTTTCTACGTATTTAAAGCCAAGTTTTAAAACAGACATGGAAGAAACTTCATTAAATTTTCATTCCACGCTACATGAAGCGCATTTAAACAGTGGTTTGTTACATACTTTTGAAAAGCAATTTGGTAAAAACAAGACGGAAACGATTAGAAATGGTGATATTTTACGTCATAAAAGTTTTAAATCGCCCTTCAATAACATTTTAGAATCTAAAAAGTTTTTAAAATCGAAACAAAATAATGCCGTTTTGGTGAAACCGGTGGAAACAAGTGGTTTTAAGAGAGCAACAGATATTGATTGTTCAGACTCGCTAGATTTAAACCAAGATTTTTGCATTTATGAGAGCGAAAAGGTTAATAATTACGAAAGCAACAAAATCAATGTAGAAAAAAAAACCTTTTCTGGAAGTCTCTATGTTACTATGCACGAAATATCTGGTTGCCGAAAACATGGTTGTTTTGTATGCTCTATTGAAATAAATGGTGAAGCTAAAGCAAACGTATCAGGTAAAAAAATGCAAGAACATTTAAAAATGGATGATTCATTTGAAATTGAAGTTAACGATGCATATTTATTAGAATTAAAAATATTCTTTAACAAAAAAGAAAAGCCGAGCGATATCGCTAGAATATACTTAGGAAAACCGTTAGCATTCGAAAACCAAGCCCATATAATTCTAAAAACAGCTAAGTATGGGATAAAAATTAAATTGTCTCTTAAAATCATTGGAATTCACAGCTTTTTAAAGCGCGCACCATCTAACTCTAAAAAAGGTGTATTTGGTTTTAATATTGAGCAAACTTTAATTGATGATGCCAATACTATTCCGCTTATTGTTAGAAAGTGTGTCCACGAGATCGAACTGAACGGCATTTCTCAAGAAGGCATATACCGCATATGTGGAAACGCAAAAAAGAAAAAGCTACTACGTTCTAAATTCGATGAAAAAAACTTTAAAAATGAAAATACTGATGAGTTTGACTGTCACGTATTTTCTGGAGTTTTGAAAGACTACTTGAGAGAGTTACCCCAGCCATTAATTCCACGAAAACTTTTTTTGGAGTTATACGCGCACTCTCTTCTTGACGATAAAAAAAGTTGTAACGATGTAGTTCTTTTAAACGCAATGAAAAAAGTACATTATTCTAATAGGGCAACATTAATTTACTTAATGGAGCATTTGCTGAAAGTTGCTTCTAAAAAAGAAGAAAACAAAATGGATTTTAAAAACTTAGCTGTATGCTTCGGTCCCGTAATGATGTGCCCTCCAGCATTAACAACTGGAATGCTAGATATAAAAAAACAAGTTGACGCGTTAGAGTACCTTCTTAAAATTTGGCCTAATTCGTTATCCAAAAACCAAGTTTAGTTGCTTTGTTTGCTTACTTTACTATATATACTACTTTTTACTATATATATATATATATATATATATATATATATATATATATATATATATATATATATATATATATATATATATATATATATATATATATATATATATATATATATATATATATATATATATATATATATATATATATATATATATATATATATATATATATATATATATATATTATACTATATTATATTATACTATATTATATTATATTATACTATATTATATTATATTATACTATATTATATTATATTGTATTATATTGTATTATATGGATAATACTTGGCCTTAACGCCATGTATATTAAAACCATAAAAATGTTTTAGTAAAATGTTTTTTTTATAAATTGAAATAAAATTATAAAGTTCTAATTATACAAAATTAAATATTAAGTTTTACTTAAATAAAGGCTTTTTTGATAATAAAATTTCTTTTGTTTTTATGAAGTATATTTATTTATAAAAATAATTTATTTATTTGTTTTATAAACAGATAGTTTATGCTTCTTATATATAAAAATATAAATGTTTTTATATTTTTAAATTTAACTTTAAAAAATTGTTTAGTATTTAATATTTTATTAAAATAGCAATATATAAAAATTAAAGAATGAAATATTTTAAAATATTTTAAAATATTTTAGGCATTTAATATTTTAAAGTATTTTAGACATTTAATATTTTATTAAAAAAATTATTTTTTTAAGAAGTTTTTTAATCGAATTATATCAATTTTGTAAAAATTTAAAAAATGAACTTTTAAAATATTTTTATCATTTAATATTTTATTCAAAAGTGTATTTAATTGTATTATATTAATTTTATAAAAGTTCAAAAAATAAATTTATAAAAAATGCCAAGCATTTGTCATTATATTCAAAAGTGTTTTTAATTGTATTATATAAATTTTGTAAATATTTTAAAAATAAATATCTCAATAATTATAAATAAAAAACATTGCTTTGATTGCTTCGCACGCACACTCTAGTGGAAATAATTCAAATAATAAAAAATGCACCAGAAAGTGATGACATTTTATGACATTTTTGAAATAAAAGGGTCCTGGATTTTTGGTGTTTATGATGAAATTTTTTTTTTTTTTTTTGTTCTTTTCTTAAACATTTTAGTAAATCGTTGTACAATAAAATCGTTAACATTTAAATAACAAAATCATACAATAAGAACTAAGTAAAAGATAATATAGTTATACAGGTATTTAATTTTATAAAAAAAACGCTGAGACTCGCAGAAGACCATCAGCTCTTGTCATTGAGAATCGCTCGTATTTTACAATCTCAATAAATCATATTCAAATATAGTTGTATATCTCTATAAAAACTTTACATAACGCATAAATACATGATGCATAAATACAGCAATCATTACATGAAATTATTAAACGTTTAAAAATATAAAAATATATTATCCAGAGACAAAATTACTCCTTTAAATTTATTTCTAAATGAGAGGTAACTCCATTCCAAAGAAAAGTCAAAATGTTTTAAAACTATTTTTATTACAAAGAAAAGCTCCGCGAAATGCAATGTTTGTTTTTCCAAAATTACTTTGATAAAAAGGTTGCCGAACTAAGTTATCATTTCTCATATTGTATTTATTTTTATCTTTCAAGGTATATAAATTATATAAAGAAACTGGAGAGGAATTTATTTTACATTTGTCCTTAAAACAAAAAATATTAAAAACATTGAGGTGGAATATATATAAAACTCTCATTTCAGATAAAAGAGGTCTGCCATGAGTAAATCTGTTTTTTTAAGTTGATAAGACAAGCAACATGCTTCTGCTAACGATAAAGAGGTTTTAGTATACTTTTATTGGCATTACACCAAGCAATATTTGCATAGTTTAAATAACAATGTTAAACTTTGTTTATTTAAGGCATTTCTAGCCTTATATATTACTTCTATACTTTCAGCAATTTTGTTGTACAAAAAATTGGTGTGGTATTTCCAGCTAAGGTTTTCATCAACATGGACACCTAATAAGTCAGTATTTATTTCTCTTTTTATTTGAATTTTGTCAATAAAAAAAGGTCCTCGTTGGTTGAAATTTGCCGAGTGCCTATTTGAATTTTTCCGCCTGACTGTCTAAATTTGTCGACTGGCTTTTCTAGTAGGGGGTCAAATTTGCCAACTAAATGCGCAAAAAACTCATTGATGTAGGAGGAGGGTGTGCCACACCCTCACACATATTGCGCCGACCTTACATTCTGGGTTTTTGATTAATTTAATGTTTATGTTGTTAAAAAGTGTTATAATATTATTTTGAGAGAGAAATAAACTAGAATAATTCCACACAAAATTGTTTAAAAACTATGGATAGATCATTAATATATATTAGAAATAGGAGAGACCCAATAATAATGTTAAATAAATCAATAACATAATATTGATTGTTGTATAATGAATAATAAGATGCTTGTAAATTTTTTTTGTACAAAGCCGTTCTAAAATTTGTGAGAATACAGAAAGTAATGAAATTGGACGAGAGTTGTCACTTTTTAAATTTGTTTGACTTTTGCTAATTTTAGAGCTTTAGTAAATAAACTGTTTTATTAATATTGAAAAAGTCTCAAAGAGTATATCTTTTAAAATAGCAAATAAACTAACAACAATCTTTTGCATTTAATATTGGTTTTTAATATTTTAAAGACAACTTCAAAATCTTCAAAAAATAGATCAAAAAAGTTCATGTAAGATTTCAGAAAGAAGCAGTGGTCATTATTTAAACTTTAGAAATTGCTTTTGCAAGATTCGGTCCTACGCGTTGGACCGAATCTTACAAATTAATTGACTTGGCGAAAGCTTTTGATACTAATGATCACAAAATTCTTTTTAAAAAGTTGAAGTGGTACGGAATTACTGGAAATATATACAGTATTGGACAAAACATTTGCAACCAACATCGAACAGTGTTAAAAAGTGTTTCTAATTTTACATGTCTTAAAAACGAAACGAACTAAACTACCACAGTAAACAGTTCAGGAGTCTGGAGTCATAGCATGCCATGACATGAGCTATCAGCTGACAGGTGACAGCACACAGGCAGAATTTTGTCGACAAGTGCCATTTTTCAGCGGACAAAACAAGTGCAACTTTTTTGGTTTGTTTCATTTACTTAAGTCTGGTTTTTTAATAACTAAAGGAAGTATCCAGAAGTTTCTAGAAGTTTCCAAAAGCAGGCAGAAGCTTCCAGAAGAAGCATCTGGAAGCATTCAGAAACATCTAGAAGTATCCAGAAACATTCAGAAGCATCCAGAAAGCTACTAGAAGCATCGAAAAGAAGCATCTAGAATCTTCCAGAACAGGTTCACATAGGTTTGTTTTACTATATAAGAGACATGTAAACCGACATGCAATTCAGTCAGTATATGGAAGTCAATCAGCCAGTATTATCAAGACAGATTTTTAAAGTGAGTTTTATCAAAGTGTTTTATCGAAGAACATCAATACAAGAAGTGAAATACAACAAGTGTTTCATTACATCAATACAGTCCACATCCAACCAAGACGTTGTGTTCCACAGAGCACTATTGTATCATCGCAAGGTAAATGTAACACGGTAAGCCTTGAGAAGCGTGATTATTTATTTTTATTATTTTTATGACTTCAAGTGCAAAAATGGCTTCCGACAGTCTTGTATTGGAACTAGGAAAGAAAATTATTGGCGATTACGTAAGTGGAATGTCACAAAAAAGTATTTGTGATAAATATCGTGTGAAAAAATGGACCGTATCAAGACTATATTGCAAATATCATTCTATGGTGAAGTTAGCAGCAGATAATAAAGGTGGAAGACGGCGTTCCACCACTTTTAGAAAGGATTCTATGATCTTCAGATCCGACAAAGCACTTAGAGCTGCCTGTATTGGACCGAACAATCAGAAGACGTGCTGTTGAAGCCGGATTGTTTTCTCGACGCCATGTAAAGAAACCGTTGATTTTACTTAAAGACCAAAAGAAAAAACTCTTGTTTGCTGCATCTCATTTTGACTGAAATGTGCAGAAATAGCGAACTGTCTTGTTCAGTAGTGAATCGAAGTTCAACATCATTGGAAGTGATGGCATTTACCGTGTACGTCGACCGGCCGGAAAACGCCTCGATTTACGTTACTGCCATTAGACCGTAAAGCATGGTGGAGAAAATGTAATGGTCTGGGGTATTTTTCTGCTAACGGTCTAGGTCCAATTCATTGAATTGATGGAATAATAGACCGTTTCATGCCAATATGCCAATAAAATGGGTTTTTCAGCAAGACAACGATCCAAAACACACTGCATAAGTAGTCAAGCAGTGGTTTCAAGTCAACCACCTATCGGTGATAGATTGGCCGCCTCAATCCCTGGATCTCAACCCTATCGAGAACCTGTGGGAGATCGTCAACCGCAGAATTAATCATGAAGGTGTTCGTAATAAGGATCAACTGTTTGAACAAATCCAAAAGGCCTAGGCAGCAATTCCACAAAGTTTCATTGATCACCTGATCGAATCTATGCCTTGAAGATGCAAGACTGTAATCGACAACAAAGGATTTGCCACGAAATATTGATAGCGAAATACAGCTTGGTCAACATTTTGTGGAGTTGCATTTGTTTTGTCCAAAAGGAAATCAACTTTTTTTAATACTTATGATTAATTTATTAATTTTCGTGTACAAATAATGAACTTTGTGATAAATAAAACTTGAAGAACGTTGTCTCTAAACAGTTACATAGTTATTTCTCTAAATTGAAAAAATGCAGCACTTTTATATAAAGAAACTAAATTAGCATTATTTGGTTGCACTTGTTTTCTCCGATACTGTAAATTCGGCTAAAAAGTTACCTTATATAATCGAAAGCAAATTGTTTAAGAGGGTGATAATGTATCATCTAATTTGTTAAATATTTCATGTAAAGTTCCTCAAAGATCCATATTAGGACCTCTATTTCTAATATATATTAATGATCTACCATAAGCTTCTAACCCAATGACAATTA